ATTTTTACAGAGAAATAAACTAGGAAGAATAGAGATGAATGATACTGATAAAAAAACTTTTATTTGATATTTGATTTATGAAGTGATAAAAAGAAAAAAAAATGAGGTGAAAAATTAGAAAAATGAAAATTTTTATAAAGTGATAAAAAATTAGTATTTAATTTGATTTCATTTAATTCTTTTTTTTCTAGTATTTTGATCTTACTAATAATTTGATCCATTTTTATGAACTGATCAATTGATCAATTAAGATTTGAATTTTATAAGCAATGAGCGATTAATCAATTGGGATTTGAAATAGAGAAAAGGTTTCAAATTTATTCCATCAATTAAACCTTTCAATCATTAATTACTTACTTATCCAAACCGATAATAATGGAAATAATAATGCTTTGAAAAGATGAAATGAAAAGGGATAAGCTTAAAATAATTAGCAATCGGTGACAGCTTAATATGTATGAATTATAATAATCAAACGAAATAATTGGGAAATAGTGGTGATTATAAGAAGTAAATTATAAATGTATTTTCCCGCAAATCTATTCCCATATTTAAATTCAATCAATCTTTCATATTATGAATTTATCTTTTTGCTAATTGATAAGTATCCCTTCTAAAAACTTTTGTTATTTCATTTTTAAAAATGTTATTATTCCATTATAACTTTGTTTTCTTTCAAGATGATAAGGAATTTATCAATTTTTATCAACAAAATATAACTTCATATATACATACAAATATTTTGATAATGCAAAATACCGTATTATAATTTTTTTTTCTTCTACTTACAAATCTTTCATATATTTCAAATATCTTAATTAATTAATCACTGACTGAGTCTAATCTTTCATACACTTCAAACGTCTTAATTAATTAGTCACTGATTGAGTCTCTTAAAAGCTATTTGTGATAGCATATCAATCTTGGCCACATGCACACTCTCTCTCCCTCTCTCTCTCTTTCCCATCACTAGGCTCAATTGTTGTCTATCTTAATTGATGTTTATTAGTGTCCAATTAATTCTTCTTTGTAGTTAGTTATTGAGAAGTATCATATATTGATACAAATGATAAGTGTAATAATTTGAATTTGTAAGAATGCCTAATTAAAGTAAAAATGATAATGATGATAATTAGCATATAAATGAGCTATATAATGTACATGTCTGATTAGTACATTTTATACATAAGCATGCATGTTTGCATGTAAGCATGCATGCTTGCATGTAATCATGCATGCAAGTAAGCAAATAGACAATTGCATTAGCTATGAGCAACATTTAATTAAGTTACACCTTTAAATCAATCTCAATTCTTCGATTTGCATTTATAGCTGCCATACAACGATTAAGAGTGCTAATTATTCATTTACTGCCTTTTAGCATCATCCCGCCTTTCTCCTCTACTTTTCATATACAAATTTGCAAACAGACACACACACACACAGAGACAGACAAACAGACAGACACACACATACACATACACATACATACACTCATATACACCCCATTCATTCTGTTGCTCCTATTTAATTAGTTTAGCTGGAGCAATTTTCTGATCACTTCATCAGTCTTGTTTCTTACCAATTTCTCGTCCCCACAATTTGAGATGTATTCGAGCACTTTGATTAATGTGATAATTGATAATTGATAAAATGATTGAAAATATGACATTCATTTATGTGCAACGTAACACTAATTGTTTGCTCAATTTTTGCTCAAATTTAATTTAATTAAATTCATTTTGTTTTCCTTAACAAAATCCATTTTCTAATTTACTCTTGTTTTTATTTCCATTTCAATTTTACACTCATTCAGTTTTAAATTCAATTCAATCGAATTCATTGTTATTCACTACAAAATAGTACAATTTGAATTTATTCCCTAAAAATTAATTTTGTCAAATAATTTGTAATTATTTCAAATATATTTTTCCATTAATTTTTACTTCTTTTTAAATTCATTTTTATAATATAACTATCCAATTCCATTTCGAATTCTCAAATTGAATACTTTTTCCTCTATTAGTAATTGGAAAGAGTGAAATGAGTTTGAAAAAAAAAAAAAAAAATTCATTCAATTATTCCATTCTTTCTGCTAATTACTACTTCACTTCATTTGTTTTTATTATACTTCTATAATATCTTTAAAAAAAAAAAAAAAATTTATGAATATTCTTTCATTAAATTATGTAACATTCATTTTTGCAAAATATTTCACATACGAACAAAAGAAGAAAAGATGAAATTCTATTTTTGAAATAAATAAAATGATGTGAAATAATTTGAAATGAAAATTAGAATTGGTTTAATTTAATTTAATTTGATATATACTATGATAAAGGTCATATGCTTTTACTATTTGCTTCTAATAAATTATCATCGAACTGTATTGATTAAATTTGATTAATTTTAGCTGAAATGAAAAAGAGAAAAATTAGCTTATTTAAATGATAATTTGATTCAAACAACTTATCGAAGAAATATTTAATTTTTGATTTTTTTTAAAGATAACATAATAATAAGCGAAAAATGATTAGTATTTCTAATCTTAAGAATTTTAGTAATTAAAAAAAACCATTCATCTAAAATCTCTCTCTCTCTCTCTC